TTAAAATGAGGTCTGGGTTTTTCAACGCAAATTTACGGTACAAAACTTTTTCAAAAACTATCCAAACGCAAACGGCTCGGGCAAAAAAAAAAAAAAAAAAAAAAAAAAAAAAAAACATAAAATAAGAATTACAGTTTGGCGACGAGGAAAATCATCGACAGCCCATCTGCTATTATTAGATCGGGGGTCACCCAAAGGGCCAAAGTGGCTCTCACAAAGCCAAGTTACTCCGTGGAGGGAAAAGGAGGCGGCGGGAGGGAAACTCTTCACCTCCGTCGGTATGTAATCAATGCTCAATTGACAGGTCCGCTTCTCTCTTTTTGGTATTTTTCTCAATTTTTAGGCACTCCGGGTCTAATGAGGATGAACAGGCGGAGCAGAAGTTTTCCAGATAACTACGGAGTACTCCGTACTCTGTAACTAGTCGGAGTACGGACTGCGAGACTCGGAGACCCAGTGTATCTCAAAACCAAGAAGAAGATAACCAAGATAGCAGATATGGCATTTGCCTCAAATCTCTCGGGGAACCGTTTCATCTTGTCTCGGTCTCTCTATCTTTCAGGTCGCCACGGACGCAAAAGTCAATCCCTGGCATAAATCACAAGGCAATTTCCTCTCCGCCAGCATCGAATGACCTCACTCTGCCTGAGAGAGGGTGAAATCGTGAAATCTTCCTCGCCGTGGTCTGCAGTGGAGTGCAGACATGGATCCTCCTTACTCCGGAGTACATACAGACTACAGTAGTGAGTCTGCGGAGTGCAGAGGCGACTTGCCGTTTGAATGTCTACTAGACTACTTCATACGGCGTAGTTATTGACCTGCCATTCCCGGTATTCCCCTCCTAATTCACACTATGGGTTGCAAACAATAGTCAAGGTTGGGCAGTACAGTATGTATGGTTCGTTTGATGTAGATCGACCAGGAACCCCATGAAGTGGAAACGTGCAACCGTTGGATAAAAAAAGGGGGTGGTGGGTGCCTGAGGCGGGCGGCCGTTCTATTTCTGCATGTGACGGCTTCTACTTTCGACCTCGACTTTGATAGTGTAATAGACCAACGGGAAACATTTAAATAGTATCTACGGACCCCGCAGTCCAATCCCAGCCATGACTCACAGGTGTCTCTATACTGTACGGGTGAATGGCGCAGGGTCTAGTTTCTCCCTGTTCCGGGATCGGAAGGTCGAATGGAATCGTTTGGATAAATGCAACAAGGCAAGAGGCAAGTCTAGACCTGACTCGCCGGTATACTCTCCTGCGAACATGCCACCTCCGGAAGACTTGCGGTCAACCCGTGGAAGGATTTCTGACGATTGTCACGGATGGTCTGTATCCCCAAAGGGCCGTCTGGCATGTCCCCCACTGCCTGGTTTCGAAAGAGGACCGAGCCTCCCTGCCATCAAGGGGGCTGAGAAGCCAACTCTACGGCGGTAGCTGTGCCTGACGGACCGGAAAGCTTATCGATTCCAACCGTACTTTTTGGCGGTCTGATTGCTAAACGAACACATCCCCGGTAACGCGTGTAACCGCACCAGAGAGGCGCCCGACGCTGTTGTTGAACCGGTTGCATCCGTGATACTAGTGAAACATCAAGAGCTTGGCTGCGTCGTGAACGACAACAAAGCTTTCGCCCGTCGCCATCCCTTGGCGTACCCGCCTTGACACAGGCAAACGCTTAAACCGCTTTCCCTCCATGGCCACTCCCCTTTCACATCGTCGATTTTTCGCTGAAGCTTCTACTCTGGTAGGATAATGGCCGGGTCTCGTGGCACGTACGTAAGATGACCTCATACACGGATAAGAAGGGGTAGTCTCATGTTCGTCGTCGCGTGAGTAGGTTACCGGTGGTCAAGAATCCTTTATCCCCCATGGGCCCCCTCCACTCTATAGATAGCTGTCCAAGTACGGCTCGCCCGTCCCGTTTCAAATCCTTCTGCAAAGACTCCAATCCTTCCTGCTGTCCTTCTTCCTGTTCAACGAGAAACGCAACCTGCAGAACATCGCGTGGATTCAAGGAAGGTGGTGGCTGCACATCGGATTCATCTGGCCGCTCCAGATCCCAGTTCAAGGAAATCGCCTTGAATGGGGGTTTCGGGTTGAGTTTCGTGTGCTGAACCAAGGATTAGAAAAATCATAGGTAGCCCAGACGGAGACCATTCATTTGTCATACCTTAACTACCACGGCGCCGTCGCCCACATTCTCTAACTGTGCCTCGAGAGCGAACCGGAGCAATCGAGTTTTCCCGTAGGGCCCCAGAGTTTTGTTTTCAACCTCCAACGGCGCCAATTCGGACGACTTCGTTCGCACGCTCAGGCAGGGCTGTGCAACGAACTGGTATAGCTTACGGAATGTCCTCACTCGCCCGCTGGCCGCTTGCGAGTCGGAGCCGATTAGAGTTTCCGTGTAACTGACGCTGACCGCTAAGATGTGATTCCCTTCTTCTTTGAGGTCAAAGCGAACGATCTTTTGCAACGACTGTCCTTTCCGTAGACCCTCCTGCGCGGACGAATCTTCCGTGGGCTCTAGGTCCAACGATGCGACTTGGGAGGGGGTCTGCATTTCTGCGACGATACGGACCGACGTAAGGACACGCGTGGGGTCATCCTCCGAGAGCTCATTGTTTGCGCTGAGGGTGCACGCGAATGTTTCTCCGACGTAGGCAGATCCAAAAGCAGGAGGGAGTGTCAGCTTCCGGCCCATATTAGCAGCAGAATACCAAAAGATAAGACCAGACATGTCAATCGTACATTAGGAGTAAGAATAAAGCGATCGTCGGTGCTGTCGGACGGGTAACTCAACGACGCCTTGCTGGATATCTTTGCGTTCGAAGCTGGAAGAGGGTTTTGATAGGATAAGGACGGCCTCGATAGCCTGATGGAATCTCCAACGTCATTAACAAGTAACAACGGACCAATTTACTCCTAGACGCCGCTTACCGGAGCACTGGACCTTGATCAGCCAGGCCACTGCCCGCAGGAAAATCTCAGCTTGTTCGTACCTTTTAACGAAACTGCGTGTGGTTCTTTGGGGCCGTCGGCCCCCGAATGTGCCCGTGGGCGTGCCATTTCAAGCTGAAATATGTCTTGGTGCTTATTGTTTGGAGCTGTCAAGTTGCGCAGTCCGTAGACATCAATTATTATCGTTATCGGGACCGGGCGCTAGTGGAGGACAAACCAGGCAAACTAGGCAAACAAGACAAACCTCCGCATGACGTGGGAGAGATTCATCGAGTAAATAAACTCGTCTCCAACCTATCAAACTTACATAGCTTGACCAAGTCACCTTCTTCTATCGAATAAGCTCTACATTCACTCGAAATAGTCACTGTGAAGCGCGTGAATATTGGAACAGATGAAGGATTACGTCAGCAACCCAACCGGAAGATTTCGTCGTCCACAAGCCGCCACTCAATAAGTATCAACTTCCAATCTACTAACATTTTATACTCGTCGTTCTCCTCAACCCCGAACGTCAGAACGTCCGAAAACTGCTTGAAACATGGGTGCCACAAGAGCAGCTCCAGCAACCCGAAGAAATGCTGCGAAAGCATCGCTAACAGCAGATTCTTCGGGCTTGCAATCTCAACCCCCTAAAAGCGCGCCTACGTCATCGAAGAGGAAGCGAAATTCCGAGCCTGAGGCCAATCCTCCAAAGACGCCTGTTAAGAAAGGTGCCCCTAGCCCAGTGGAAGTGGTTGATTTGACGGGTGGCTCTCCTACCTCCGGTCCGACAAAGAAAAGGAGAAGCTCCAAGACTAAGCAGTCGCCATCTGAACCTGTAGCCGAACGCAGGGCCAGGGTCTTTCGCAAGCATCCACCCAAGTCATATTTGGAGAGATGTGCGCGTGCAACGAGTCAAAGGTATGGACACCGTAATGATTCCATTATTTCCGCAGGCTGTCTAACCTCGTACGCTTGACGTTAAAGGATGTTTGTCGTTGGAAAAACTGTCACTGGGGCCGACAAAACCCCTGAGATGGCATTTGATATCGTTGGGTCGACAGGCAATATCTACAAAACAACTATTGGCAAGGTGCCGACTTGCGATTGTCCGGATGCCCAGAAGGGAAACCAGTGCAAGCATATCTGTTATGGTAAGTATTTTGACTCTAGTATTCGTTATTACACTTAGCGGCTAGCCACCTTTCTGGCTACTATGAATGATGTATATGCTAATTTCCCTGGATCGATAAGTTCTAGCAATTGTGCTCAAGACTCCTCAGCATCTCCAGTACCAGTTGGCGTTTTTGTCCTCGGTGAGTAGCTCATATTTACGCTAGTTTGCCGCAACCTCTTCCAGTTGACAATCGTGCCGTAGGAACTTCTCCAGATCTACCAGGAGTCATCCCTCAGTGCCCCAGAGACCACGCCCAAGAGCAACGACGGTAACCGAAAAGCAATCGACGGGGACTGTCCCATCTGTTTCATGGAGTTTGAAGCGAACGAGGATATTGTTTGGTGTCGAGCAGCTTGTGGAAACAACATCCACAAAACTTGTTTCCAGCAGTGGGCTGCTACCCAGCGAAATCAGGGTGTGACTTGCGTCTATTGGTAGGTTCTTTCGGTGGTTACTTGTCTTCTTATCCCCCGAACTAACCTCTGTTTTCTTTTTACTTCTCTAGCCGCTCTCCCTGGCAGTCAGATACCAGTGATGTGAACCTAGAAAACCTCGTGAAAGAAGGCACGGTGAACGAGGAGGGTTACATCAACGTGGCTGAACAGATGGGCCTCTCCGGAAGTCGCGGTACGGAACCACGCCTCCTTGCACCCTTCCATCAACCTGTTCAATACATAAATGCTGATTTCATATCTAGATTATTCAACCTATCATCAGCCCTGGGTTTTCCAACAAATGTATGGTGGTCGGTACCGTGGTCGACGGTCTTACTACGGTTATTACTAAAGCTCCAGGAAGAAGCCTACAGAGGGATATTCAAGAATGCTTTTGATTTTCGGGGCAGAGATGTGGACGGAAGCCGGGAGTTTGAAATTTCGATTGCCTAACTGGTATGATGTTAGATACCCAATGCTTAATTTGATTGAATTATCTTAATATAATAGTTTTTGATTACCCTGATAGCGGAGGCATATATATGCGGAACTCTCGTCGATAGGGTGGGTGGTGGCACAGGAATCAAAACAATGATTCGTTACATGAAGCACTGCCATGGACATGCTCGGGATGTCTGTTTGAGATGCGATTTTCCTGAGAGCAGAAGAAGACACGAGACATCAGAGCACGACCATACCAGACCAAGTACCCAGCTGTGAGATAAACATGAGCAGCAGCACATAAATCTGGGATTTATGAGTGTCCTTTGGGATCACAGAAAATGGAGACCGGAGCAAAGAATCCGAGACCGTGAGAGGGCCACTAACTGGCCCCTGGTAGTCTGGGTTTTTAACTCGGCGACGTGCCCAAGTGATCACCCTGTAATAGGAGAATGGAGGGATGATTGTGTCAAGCACGGAAAGCTCATCCATCGCCCTTAACCACACGATTGCCTTGACGCACGACAGCAACACTAACGGCTTCTTCACCCGTCATCCATGAAGGCATGCGCTCTGGATCGATGATACCTAATTCGGCAAGTTTGCGGATACCACTGATAACGTCTGAGCCGGCAAAAGTAAGAGAAACGGTAGGCTGGCTTTGCTCAGCGGGATCGTCGTCTATTTCGGCAGCTTCATCAGCGAGGGGAGAGTCAAGCAAGCGGACATCGAACCGGTCCAAGGGAGCGGAGGACAGTGATCCGGTCGTCCCGAATCGAGAATCGATAGCAAGCTTCCGTTTCTTGGGAATTTGGGTATCGGCATCCAATTTCCTTGACCTCTTTGATGACTGAGGTCCGGAGGATTCTTCGTCCATATTTTGTTCGTTCTGGTCTTGGTTCTCTTTATCCCGACCAGCTCCTTGGCCCATGTATTCCTCTGGAGATACGGTACTGGAGGGCCGTGGATCCAGGGGGCTCCCTTCGATTACGGCATCCGCGAAGATACTGAATGCCCCAGCAGCTCGGTTCGACCGGCCCGGACCGCGCAGAGCAAGAAGAGCCTCGAGGCTCTTGGCTGTCAGAGCAGTTGCTTTGAGCGAGTATCTTTTTTGCGGCACGGAAAGTGCCACCGGGACGGCATCCCGCACAATTCGTTGCAGGGTTCGAGGGTCTGCTGCGATTGCGTGGGTCGAGGACGCGCCCGTCTTAGGGCTTGGAGACGAGGCGATTGAAGTGTATATGAAAGGGCAGCTGTCGGGGAAAGCCACATATATCACTCTCGAGGAGTCGGTTAACATTTCTGGTGCTTGTCGGGGCTGCTTGTACGGTGAATTGGTGACAAAAATGCGAAGGAATGTGAGCGGCAACACGTTCGAGCGAGCAAGGTGATAATGTGCCTTCACTAGCGGAGAGATCTGCGACTGAAGGCTGTTCAGGAAGGTGGAGGTATGGATGTGGGGGATGCAGGCGGTCATTTCCCCAGATGCGTCGGACGAGTGACTACTATCCGCGCCGATGCGATAGAGCTCTAACGCCGACCATCGCAAACTGGACGGGTGATCATCCATATATCGTAAGTCGATCATTGCAAGCTGGCGCAGACTGATACCATGTCGCCAATCGCCCTCCAGAATCCGATCAATCACTTCGCGTTTTCCACCTCTCCTGACCTGCAGTTCCTGGTATGCATTCCGCACATCGTCGATGGTTCGCTCGACCGGGTATGGACTGAGCTCGTCTTCGTCCCCATTATTAGCATCGTCTCTCTCTAGGAACGGCGGGAATGACTGCACGTTGCGGTCATCCAGCCAGTAAAACACCAGGTCCAGCAACGCCTGACGCGTGAGTTTCCCGAAGGACTTGACGAGCGACGGAGTTGCGGATGGGATGCGAAGGTCACTAGGAAGACTTGAGGTTGTAGGCGCGCGAATAGATTTTTGACGCGCCATTGTATCTCAGATCGAGAAACAAGACCAGCGAGGGCGAGAAACGTGATGTAAACCCCCTCAATCCGAGAGATGCGCCTTTGATGGTGCGGCGGATGGAGAATGCGATGTCGCGAAATCACATGATCTGAATGTGTCACGTGGTGATAGCCATCCGCTTGCGTCTGCAATGCCTCAGGCACCAATATGATCGGCCGGTTCTCTTCCAGAGACAAATTAATTAATCTAATTTTACTCTCCAAAAGGACCAAGATGGGAAGGGGCCAAATTTCGGTATATTGCGACTGCATATAGTAAACCGATCCATAGTTGGACCGGCGGGAATACTACAGTAGTCTAGCAGACCGTAGCGGGCCAGCGGCACTTTCCCGGGCAAGTCGCGGAAAGCAGAAGACCATGTGTAATTCCCAAGTGTACAACTTTTAACGGTCGGGGACTGATTGGCTCCCTCTTATCATGGGAATTAATAATCATGGGCTGAAAAGAGAAAGTCAAGCATCAGCGAAACCCTGTCTTAGTCCGTCGACCCCCGTAAGTCAACTACGGAGTACAGAGTATGCGCGAACCGCGCAACGGACAAAATCCGAGGAGAACCCGGAGAGGAAGGATCATAAGGTAAGATATCACACTGAGCACGCCTTTGATCATGTTGTTGACATTCCCAGCAGATACGAGGCACTGGATGGGAGGGGGAGGAAGCCAAGCAACCAGCATTCCCCCCCCCCGGTAGCAAACTACATGCATTATTGGTATTGTATAGGCGCACGACGGGCGCAAGGGACAGTGGACCAACTAGCTGGGAGTACTCGCCAGAAGTATGAGAGCCACGCACAACCGGGAAGTATTGCCCAAATAGGACTCTGGGTGGGCGGCGATTGGCTTTTGCTTCAACGCGTCTCTGCTTAGTCTGTTGGGGATCCACCGAAATAAACTCTCTCGTTCACTGGTTGGAAGGGGAAGAGGGCGGCCATTCAACTCCTGAAGTCCTGCCTCGTTCTTTGGTTCCGTTTTCCGACTTCGGCCACCGGAAGAGGATGGATCGGAGTCGATGTCATGACCAAAACTTGCGGGTGGCAACTGGCAACGACTGGGAAGAAGAACCGGGAATCGATGGAATGATGTTGGTATGACTGTAGTTGGAAGTCATGCCAGGATGTGTGAAGAACAAAGCCAACTCGAGTTACGGTAGGATGGCCGTAGCAGAAGAGCGAACAATGGGAAGTGAGAATAGTATCCTGTTCGTATTGTGTGGGTGAAACTGTTGGAGTCAATCTAACTCCGGCTTACAAACCCCGTGCCTTTGTCCGCCATTATTCAGCCTCTCCACCCCCACCTGCGCAAATTCCAAACCCGCCCTTCATCTCCGATCCCTCGTCCCACTCCCACACTGCTTCAATTGTCTCCTCCCCTCTCTTCCCACTTCGCCCCGTTCTTTCTTCCTCCATCGCACTACCCGTATATACGACTGCGACGACCAATTTTACGCCATTTTGATTGCGGACACTTCACGAACCCGTCCTCACAGAGGATTTCGCTGGCTACATCGCCACCGTCGACTTTCGCACAAAGAACCGTTCGCAAAGCGTCCAATCGTCGAGTTGGATTGATCGAATCGTGAAATTTCGAGGTTTCGAAAGCCTCGAACCCGGTGCATCATGTCCGAATTCAACGGCCGCCGGGCCCCCAACTTCTCCCAATATATCAATGATTTGAACGCCATTCCGTCGCCGTACGACCAGGCTGTCCAGCAGCAGCAACAGCAGCAGGACTCGTTCAACCTCGATGCGGACCTCTCCCTCTTTACCAACGCCGAGTTCTTCGATTTCGACAAGTTCGGGGATCTCAACTTGCCCGCTTTCGATGCCGTGGAGGACGGGAACTTGAAGACGGAGAACAAGCAAAATGCTGGCCAGAGGTCGGACATGGAATTCTTGGACCTTCTCGGTGGTGGTAAGTTTGGCAGATTCCCTTGAAACGACGAAATTTGAGGTTTCCCTGGACCCAAGCCGGCATTTACTGGGACATGTTTTATCTTGGACCTGCATATACTTGGTTATATGATTTTGGTTCTGTACTACGCTACCACTTGATCTGGCTGGGAACCATTTGCATTTCGAATACCCTGTATTGTCTTGATTCCCTTTGTGCTTTGGGAAATCTGTACTTCCCCTCTTTTTTCGTTTCTTTTTTTCATTTCTTCTTCGCCTCTTCCTGGTGGAGTCATTCTCAACCCTACACCACTTCAACCCGGGTCTATATCCCAAGACAGCGAATGGATCCTACCGCCCTTCATGCACCATCTGCACGTGCCATCATTGGCCCATTCCTGCATCAGCCCCCCTTGTTGTATGCGACGATCCCTATAAGTTTTCGTGCTACTTGCATGGGTCCTCCACCGGCGCCGATAGCGTAAACGGTCGACGCTATGGCGCCATCACACGTGACTCCCGGGCTGCAGTGAATGGGGATGCCTTTCCATTCACCTCAGCCTGGGGAGGAGTCATGTTGTAAGTGAAGTGGAGGGCGTGTAACTACACCCCATCCCATATGCCCATGTCTATGTCTTGTTTCTACCAGCTGGATCTCCTTTGGGATATGCCTCAATCTCGTCGAAATCAGATCATGATCAGAGTCTAACCGCATACAGAGGGCTTTGGCAACATGCCGGAGTATTCAGCACCGGAATTTGGTTCCGTGAACCCCCAGTCTCAGCAAAACCCGTTGCCCAACTTCTCCGCCATCCCCCAGATTCCTAACGGGGGCTACAACGCTACCCAGAGCCCGAGCCAATCGTCTGCCTCGTCGCCTCCCTCTGCAACCCCCTCGCAGGCTCCTGCCTCGGTTCCCACGCCTACTGCTAGCACCCCCACCGCAGGACCCAAGCGCAAGAACACACAGAAGACACCCACTCTCAGCGTTGAGGAGGCCGCGCGCAATGTCGCCGAGGAGGATAAGCGCCGACGAAACACGGCCGCGAGTGCTCGATTCCGTGTGAAGAAGAAGATGCGCGAGCAGGCTTTGGAGAAGACCGTCAAGGAAACCACAGACAAGAACACTGCGCTGGAGGCGCGCGTAACGGCACTGGAACTGGAGAACCAATGGCTGAAGAACCTGATCACCGAAAAGAACGGCCAGTCGGCTCAGGAGGAAAAGAAGTCCGAGACGGACATTGCAAACATGTTCAAGAAGTTCCTTGCGTCTCAGAAGGCCAGTTCCGACCGGAGTAGTTCTGAGTCGAAGATCGGCGTGGGCACTGCCTAAGCACGATGAAACTTAAGTTTCTTTTTTTTTAACCTCCCTTGCTTTTCATATTTCCTGATTTGGATGTTTTGTTTTTGTAGATGCTTACCTAGCCTTATGTTTTTTTATTTTTTTCTTCTGTTCATACTTAATTTGGTTTATTTCGGAGACTTGGAGGCGGCGTCTCATGGAGCACGAATGGGTTGGGTTGGGGTGGATGAGTGACGTTTTTATGTTTATACGTTTTTCTCATGTTTCGATCTGAAGTACCGACTCCGATTGGAGGACGATGATTCCCTTCTCACCACAGAGAAATAAAAGCCACAAATACGATTTATTTTTCTTCTCATGTTTTCTTCACCATATCGACTTATAAATCAACGGATATTCACAGGCCACAATGCAGGTACAGACCAGTGATCTCCAATCTAATGCAGGTCTTGGCGGGTAACTATATCACATTGAACTGCCTATCTACTACTACAGAAGAGATCAAAGCGGGGAGACTACTTTCTGGAACCAGTTCAGACGACGACAATCGTCTGCTCGCCAACCACAACACTGAGCAATCAGGAAACCCTGTGCCATAATTTGATAATTTCTGCTATTGAGCACATACTAGATACTCCTACTTACTATTATAACTTCGCAACAACCACCATACCACGCACAACACCACTCCTCGCCCACCAGTCAAACACCGTCGCCGCAGCGCGAAACTTCCCACCCACCGACATACCCACGCGACGCATGCGCGCATCCTTCTTACGAATAAAGCCCGCCAGCCCCCCAAGGACATGCTCGGAGATATCCGTCATGACGATGCCGTCGATTGAGTACCCCGCGCGCACAAGGAAGGCCTCGTACTCGGATTGAGTCAGGAAGTTCGTGAACGGCGCCCCTGTCATCAGACACACGCCCCGGAGCAGCAGCCTCTGCCATGCGGTGGCAGAGTCGGAGAGCAAGAGGTCAAAGGCCATGAAGGAGGCGTGGAGTTCGGTGGCTGCGTAGGTGAGGAGCGGGGCCCTTGAGGGTCGGAAATGGTACAGACTGTCGAGCGCGAGAAGCCACGTCGTCGTTGCCTTCGTTTTCGATGGAGCGTCAGAAGAGTCCCCAGGAGACGGGGCTATCGCGCGCTGGAGCTCCTGGTCCCAGGAGGCTGGGTCAGCGGCATTCGCGCAGAAGATGTCCACCTGGGTTGGTTCGGTCGAAGTGGCAGGGGCGGGTTTCATGCTGGCAGTGGCAGACGCCTCGAGGCGCTGGCGCGCGAGCTCCGCCTGCTCGGGGAGGAGGGTGAGTCCGACGTAGGAGTCGAAGAGCGGGGGAGCGACCCTTGAGGCGCCGCTGTTTCGGTCATTGCTCAGTGCTTGAGTACTGGGCTTCCTCAAGTTGACCATGTGCAGCGATTGATCGCCACACCCGATCCCGACATCGACGAGACGGAACTGTCGGTCTGTGGGCACCGGGTGACCGGTGGAATCAAGAAGGCCGGCCGCGGTGAGGACTTGTTCTAGGAGAGCCCTACAGGCGTCCGGGAGGTCACATTCATTCTAATCTTACTGGTCAGCGAAGTCGCTTTTCCTCTGGATCTTCTCAAAAGGAAGATATAAGCACCTTCCAATACCCCATGTTCATCCACATGCTTGGTGGGGGGACGGGGATGTTGAGAACTGCATGGTCGAGACCGTAGATGGAGCGAGCTCCTATCGACGGGAAGAAGAAGTTCAGGAGGGATTTGAGCAGGGAGAGAATCCATTGAATAGGATTCATGGTGTGGTGGCATCTCTCTTGCCTGCATTCTCTTTGGCATCGACCATTGGGGTCAGGTGCCGAGGGTCACATGAAGATAAGAGCGGCCATATCGTTATCGCCGGTAGTTAACTATACTTACTCCATACTTCATACTCCATACTAGAGTGCTACCTAGTACGAAATGTATAGTTAATATTGTGTTGAATAACCATTTAATCCTGATGTAATCAATACCCCCTATCTGGATCTCCCAAAATGCCTGCGCTGCGGCCCTGCCTAAGGATGGCTAATAACGATGCAGCTCGGTACGTATGCTAATTACCAAACAACTAGACACTATAACTAGTAGTTAACTAAGTTAGTCTGTTTTCGAGCCCAATATTCGGCCCCAGTGCTATATTTGATATTTATTCAAGCCTAGTATGCAGAGTACTATGATACCAAAGAGATCTGTTACAAATATTACAATGGAGGCTTGTAGGTGAACTTGTCGACTTGCCACCTCTTTTATACTTAAATTTGGTTACTACCAATAATGTCATCATATCCAAGGAATGGCCACTCTCAAATCAGTCGCAACGCGCATAGCCGACACAACGCATCCCTCCAACAGCACCATGCCGTCCCAACACCATCCGCCCGCCAGGTAGATCCCATCATCGCCGCTGCACCATCTCGCGAGTCCGTCGACCAACACGTCGCGTTTCTAGTTCGCATCGGTAGAATTATCCTCCCCGAAGATCTCGCGAAGAACGCGCTGGCTGGCTGGAGTACGTAACACGCGCGTGAACACCGCAGACCGGATGATGGTGGTCGGGTCGATGGAGGTGAGCGGATTGGTCGTGATCAAGATCCCATTCGGCTGGGCGTGGATAGCCTCCGTGAAGACCGTTGGTACAGAAGCAGATCAATTGCGGAGAACCGGGGACAGGATGCAGCACAGTTCCTTCCTGCAGCGGCGCGACGACATTCGAAAAGTCCGTGTGAGCGATGGTCTGGACGGTTGTGGTGGGCACCTCCCGCAAGGACGGCCGAGCCGCGCTGAAGATCGCGGCGGCCACATCCGGCGACACGGCCAGAACAACGAGGTCAAAGAGTTGGGTGCATACGCCGGTAGCGTCGCGCAAGGTGAGTTACACCCCCTGCGAGGTTGGCAGCACCCTCATCGTCTCGACGCCGAGACGCACATCCAGTCCGCGCAACAATTTCTTCTGCACGGTGTAGACGCCGTCGGGGATGACGTAATGTGGCTGCTGATGAATGAGTCTCTTGTAGGCGATAATGTCAGAGGCGGGGAAGCGTCGCAGCTGCGCATGCGAACAAGTACAGACGCTGGCGATCATCAGCAGCAAGTAACTTTCGACATAGTACAGAGGCAAGTGGATGCGACGCAGGTAGTGATCGAAGGACTCAACCTCCGAATTGCCGAACACCAGTGGACTCACGAAGAAACAGCAGATAACAAACCAACAGTAGCAGAATAAGACATAAATAACTTCCAACATCCATCGGACGAGATGGCTGTGAGGAATTGGGGGAGTCTGGTGGAAATTGGAGGCATGGATCATGTAGGGTTCCACGGCGGGGGCCTGGTGGGCTGAGCGCCGAGAAAAGCTGAAGATGAATGGCTGTGGTCGGTAGCAGATACTCATATGATCGTACATGCGCAGAAGATTGTGGTAGTAGCCGCCAGCAAAAGCACGCATGGGGACATCTGCCCAGACAGAGCCCTGATGGGTAGAAGGGATAGCGATTGATTCAGCGGTTAAAGAGATTCGGGGATTCTAGACGGGAGCTGCGTCAATAGACTGCACGGCAGAGGGCTGAAATCTCATGGATCGACAGGGACCATAACAAACCTTGTCCAATAGATGCACCCTGAATCGCTGCTGTGGATCGTGATGTAGCAGGCCTTCCATGCCCGTGCCCACGACGACCACGTCGCGTCCCCTGTCTTCCATAATCATTTTGGCACTCATCCTTTGGACTGATGAGCGAACGAATGGTTGGAGGGAAAGGTAATACAAGCACAGAGGAGGAGAGAGTTCGCAGATAGGCTGGAGTGAATGAACCCTTGGGTCGCCGAGCTATTGCCGCCCATAGGTTGCCAGGGTGAATGTGAAAGTCAATCAAACGAATCAATTCCAGTACCGTGGGATATCAGATACATTGTATGAATTCACTCCAATCCCAGCCGAACTCGCCGAACCCATCGCATCCTAGAAAAAGCAACCCAACTCCATCATGAATTTGTTTCTCTATCGAAACCTCCACGCATTAGTCGTTATATGAAAGAGAGGATCGGTAAGAAAATCACAAAAAAAAAGGATAGGCAAAACCAAAAAAAAGAAAGGCAAAATAAAGTGAAGAAAAATATACACCGCAGGCTCAATCTGTCCGTATCTGGGAATATCTGGCGTAACGTCGTCCATCATGAATTGATCTCTCCAATTAGTCCCTATCCCTTTCTTTCCCTGGGTTTTTCTTCCTCGTTTTCGTCGCCCGGGATTTCTCCCCAGCCCGAGCTACGACGACTAATTCGCCCGGTCGCCATAGGTTGACTGGCGGATGGGCCGTTCAAGGGACTGCTAATGCCACCGGAGATACTTGCGGCATTGCTATCATGCCGGGCATGTGACTGAGCAGCACTAACAACGCTGGCACCGTCCCCGGTGACCGAATTCTGCTTGTTGGCATAGAAGCTGCCGCGCTCGCCGTTCCCACTGACAGGTGCCACGCCCGACGATGAGTACACGCTAATCCGCTCTGCGCTAGCCAACCCAACCATACTCGGTCTATTAAGCACTCCGGGGTTATTTGGGGATTCGGCTACACTGCCACTGAGCACGCTTAAAGGCAGACTCTCTCGGCTGCCACCAAACACCGAGGACGGAGCCAAGGCGCGCACCGACGCGTTCGTATCCAACGAGTTTCTCCGGCGTCGTTTGGATGAGGACGCAAGCGTCAGGATCGAAGCATTGTCGGTCAAGATGTTGTTGGCGGTGGCCGTGCTATACGTGACGGAATGGCCGTGAGGGGCAAGGTGGGGCGGAACTGCGGTGGCCGGAGAAGGGGGAAATTGGTGTGTAAATTGTACCTGCTGAGGGGCGCCACCTTGCATCGGATGCGCATGGTGATGGGCGTGGTGCGCATTTTGCGCATTGTAGAGGTGACCAGACGGCGCCGCGGACTGCACGGTAGTCAAGGTTGTCGTCAGAGACCGCACCGACGGCGCCGGGGATGAAAAAGTGCTGCCTTCGCCGCCGCCAGTCGAGCTGATACCCCCGCCGGCCGTTGCCATGGTCCCGGCTTTGGAACAGGCGGCATCCGATATGGCGGTGTCGGCGTTGGTGGAGATGGTGGGTGCGGTGGACTTTGCACTGGTGGCTGGAACCTGATTCTCGTATCCCGAATATGCAAGGGAGGGCTCGCTCTGCGAGCCCGAGCGTGGTTCACTCACGTCGCTGGCATCCGAGGTGTTGTTGTCACTGTTATATTCGCTGATAACATGCGTGGTGCCCGAAAGTGGGTAGGGGTTGTTCTTCCGGCCTCGGCCTTTGTGTTTGGGCATAGAATGGAGTTTGTTGGACCAGCGGATGCTGCCTGAATCGGTGGAATTTTTGAGGTTGGCGAGACGCTTCATCCAGCTCGAGAATGGGTGGCGACGACCGTTTCGATCTGCGGGAAACAGGGCGTTAGACAACCAGTAGATCCTAGCAAGAATGCCTCGGGACACTGTACCGTGCGCCCTCGCGGGGCCCTCAGCGGTGGCCATCTTGGCCGGTCAGGAGCAGAGAGCCAAAGATTGGCACTGTCCTCCCGAGCTATTCGCGCAGACACGCAGATTAAAAAGTTCTAGCAAGCCTGTGATGCTGCAAGTGAACCTCAACAACCAACAAAAGAACCGCCTCAAGCGAATCTAATGCGAGTTCCCCAGGAGAGGACGATCGATTGCGGGGCAGTTCAACGTTGCCAGAAACAAGAACGGGGGACCGTTCTCAGGGGCACTGAGCGACTCGGCGGATGAAATGTCACGGAATAAAAGCAGCAAGCTAATTGCGCCAGAAGGATGGAGAGGGATGGGATGCCAGCACTTCGTCAGGAGTCAACAGGAGCGGCGCCTGATGCACGTGATGCCCGCGGCTTCGTCGATGGGAAATGACTCAGCAGCCTTAGTCACGAGTCAGTTATGAATTATGCATGTCCCTTTGATGTTCTGCACACCGAGATGACGATGATTATTAATCATGCTCTCACATGCCGCTGCGCGTCTCCAGCGAAAACAGAAAGCAGAACAAGTCAACATGAAAAAGAATTGTCTCGTCAAGCCTCTTGCAGTCATGTTCCCCAGTACATCGCTGATTCTGTGCCAATTGCTAGCAACCCAAGGGTTAGTCAAAGGGGAACGATGAACTCATGGAGATGTTAGTCCTGCATGATCCTTAATGATCCTTTCTATAAGTAGAGAAGTTTGCAGTATCACCATGTTGAAGTACTTACATCCAAGTCAAAACCAACCAGCCATTGGCTGCATGTCTCTCCGATATCCTCTTGCCTCGGTCCAAAATACAGTCAGCTCTGGGGGGGGTTCAGATACGAGGAGGGAAAATGAGACGCAGGTCAGGCGTTGGTACATGTCGTGTCACTCCGCCCGGTTACAACCGCGTGGTTCGTTCTTCCATTCGTTCCTGAAGCCTATATATTCTCCTTGGGAATTTCCAGATCCCAGCAGACCGGACAAATCTTTTTTTACGGAGTACATATTGGCAATATCAGTCGTCTGGGTGGTTCCTCGTCACTAGTAGAGTGGGCCTCAGTGGGTCAACCGAGGCTGCTGAGATACGGGTCACTCGCTAGTCTGCAGAAAAGACCCTGGAACATTCGACCGATCGATTTCTTCGAACCCGCCCGCTCAGGTGGCGCTCTGGCCTCGTCCAGCACCTCCTTTTGCAGTCAACAATTGATCACCATCCCGTCCCATTCATCATGTCTGCTGCAGAGGAGCGGAAGAGGGTTGCGGTTGTGGGCTCTGGAATGGCTGGTCTTATCTCGGCATACTTGCTGAGAACCGACAGCCGGAACAGATACAATGTCGAGATATTTGAGATGGTACCAGTTTCCTGTCGTTCATGAGACCGACTGACGCGCATGCTAATACACTCGATTGGAACTATTAGCAAGATCACTTGTCCCTCGATTCCGCCTCATATACCCTCCCAACTAAAGACGATCTTTCCTCCCAACAAAATCGGCTGGATTTGCCCATGCGCGTTTTCGCGGGTGGCTATTATGAAAACTTGAAACGAATGTACGAGTATCTCGACATCAAGTTCGCGTCGCCACGCTTTATATATACGTTATCGACTCTCCCCAAGGCGCAAGGAGAACAGGTCTCTCCCCATTTCATTCATTCGTCTAATAACCATAAGATTCCTCCACTACGACCGGCTGGGAGCTCGTTCGGTACATGGATAATCGAGGTCGTTTACTTGGCGATATGCTATTTCTGGTTCACGGCCTGTTGCTTTTGGGTTAAGCCCAAGATGGCTCATACTTTTGGAGAGGAGGAATCGTTCCGGCAATATCTAGAACGGATTCGATTACCCCAGTACTATGTCAAGAACTATTTACTCCCACTAGTGTCCAGTGTTACAACATGCACGCATGATGCCGTGCTTGCATTTCCTGCCATCGACATTGTGGAATATGAGAGGAGGACGTTCAAGAAACCCCATTTCCTGGTCCTGGGGGGTGTGCGCAAAGTGCAAGAGAAACTGGCCGAGAAACAAAAGGTACATTACGGTGCCAAGGTTTCGGAAGTCGAGGAAATCGGCAACAAGGTCCAAGTGAGTTGGACCACTAAAGATGGCCAGGCTCATGCCGAATCATTCGATTATGTGATTATGGCCGTGACCCCTGATGTTGTCGGTGCCATATTCCCTCCTCTACGAAAAGCCATGGCCGGAATTCCGACTACTTTCGTTGAGTCGGTTGTACATTATGACTTCTCCCGCATATCTGAGTGTAGCACATCCTTGAAGCAACAGATGCGCTCAGAGCAATACAGTACATCTGCAGATTACATTCCTGCGCAACCAATTCATATCTGCTCCAGTTCATCGGCATCGGAGTCAGTACACGAACATCCTGCATCTGCCCTTATAACTACCTACCCGATTGCCCCAATTGATCCAGCCAAGGTCATTTATCGGGCCAAATTCACCCGTGTCTTGCGAACGACCAAGAGTAGGGACATCGTCAACCGCGTGATCAACATCAAACCCTCCCAGCACATTCCAGAGGAGAAACACCAAACCTGGAAGAACGGAGATGGTAACGTTTTCCTCGTCGGGGGCTGGTGCTGGGATGGGATGGTCATGCTGGAGGGTTGTATATTTTCCGCGATGCGGGTCGCAAAAAGCTTCGATGTGGAGATCCCATGGCTGGCCAGTAACCCTCGTTCTCGATGACCCGTGCAACGATACCCCGATTTTTCATTGTTCGACCGTACAACCTGTCGATAGCATTCTGATTTCGTGAGGATGGTCCAGGAGGTATACATACTTGCATTTTGGTTAACATAATGTCCATACGTTTCCTTCGAGATAGATATACACACTAGATGGTAGCAATAGTATGTACAGCACTTTTCTTTGCTTGGAAAGAGAGTGGTATTTTTTTTGGATACATCTAGTGATGACTTAATGCTTGTCACGTGATAGCCACGACATCATCCTCCGTCGCTTCCCCGAAACTGTTCTTCCTTCTCCACCCACCCCGACAACTCGCCATGGAAGTGATTACCCTGCCGGCATCTTTCCTCTTGACTGAACAAGTGTCTCACTCAGAATGTTAAATGACTATCCAACTCTCATTGCGGTACCTAGTTGGTTGCTGATTGATGCCGGCGTAGCAGCAACACCAACAGTTCGCCATCATGCCGAGTGAAGTACTACACTACTCATATATAGCGTACTAACCCACACTGGAAATGTCTGGAAATGAGCAAAGAATCCGATCGCTTCCGTCCGAAGTGGTAGCGAAACTCCAGTCTTCCACGTCCATCACGCACTTAAATGGCGTGGTTGTTGAACTAGTGAAAAATGCACTGGATGCAAATGCCCACACCGTCTACGTGACCATTGACTTCCAACGGGGCGGCTGTGTGATAGATGACGATGGGGATGGAATCCCACCGGCCGAGTTTGAATCCGACGGAGGCCTGGGGAAGCCGTACCGTATGTGACACCAGCCCGCCAAATGCTTGCGTCCATTTGCTCATCCGCAGACAGATACCTCGAGGTTCCACTCAGCTCGAGAAGTGTATGGCCGACGAGGCTCTTTCTTGGCATCATTGGCGTCTCTCTCGTTGCTGACAATTACATCTCATCATATCCACTATCCAAGCAAGAGCACGGTAATATTCCACCACTCCACGCCGGTTGCTCGACTGGTCCCGGCTCCAGTCTCGCGAGGACTGAGATTTGGTGACCATGGCACCAGCGTTACCGTGAATGATCTTTTTGGAAATATGCCTGTGCGTGTGAAAAGCCGAGCACTGTCTCTCCAGAGGCCCGACGAATTAGATCGTCAGTGGGATGAACTCAGGCAGCTTTTGGTCTCTTTAATGCTGGCAAACGACAGTCTTACAAAGCTAGTGATATCTGATGCTAGTCGAGATAAAAAGCTCATCATTCGTCCCCGCAATCATAGCCAGTCAGCAGAGGGTGCGTTAGATTTGCAGCGCATAAGCTCCATCTTTGCGCAGGCAGGTTTAGCTGAGTTTCAGAATATCCAGTGCTGGAACGCCGTCTCGGCTACTCTGCCTGATCTCTCGATCCATGCTGCCATTTCCCTTAAGCCAAGCCCTACCAAAAAGGTTCAGTTTATCTCAGTGGGGATGAATCCAATCTATGCACGGAACAGTACAAATCTGCTTTACAATGACACCAACAGTCTTTTCTCTTCATCGGACTTTGGTGCCATGGGAGGGCCCCGGGGGCCCTCATTGCATGGAGGTCTAGCCGAGCCTCCTAGTGACCATGCCGGTACAAAATTCAACTCGATGACTAAACCTGTGAATAAGTGGCCGATGTTCTATATACGCATAGATGTCAATGCTCAGGAAATCAATGATGGCGAAGACGTTCCCGAATCTGACAAATCCATCCAACGCATCATGGACGTGCTTGCAGCTATGATTAATGAATTTTTGAAACAGCGCGGTCTCCGTCCACACACCGGAAAAAGAAAACGAGCAAGAACTCAGGCGCACTCAAATGCGCAAGGTACAGGCAAGCCAAAGATTGCAGCAGGTCATTCAGACAATGTCGGCACCGAAGAAACGCTTAATAGTCATGTCAAGCTGCCCGAGTTTCATATCCCCACACGCAGTACCGAGGACTTAGGGAGTTGGTCTAAATCTAAGAGTGCCAAAGACTCTTTCAAGGCTTGCTCAAGACAACAAACTCCGCGTGTTAATTCCGGTCGCGCCTTAAAAGTGGCTAACAACGAACCTACTACCAATGAACCCGCTCGAGCATCCTCAATGGCGATATCAATGGCCGAAGAACCAAGGCTTTCAGAACCGCAGCAAGATGGTAATGACAACCTTCCATGGACTTCGGGCAATAGAGATGAGTCGACTGCCGATCGAATGGTGTCCTGGACTGATCCGTATACTGGAAAAATTCACTTGATCAACTCCCGGACTGGGCAATCATTCAACGAGCTCCCACATATTATTTCAAACCAGGAAGATCAAAGACCGCGATCAACAGGATGTTTTCAGACTGTGCGGGCAACGAGGCTTGCAAATCGTCCAAAATCAGCGGTGGCTGCTAAATCTCAAAGTTTCTGGGTTAACAACCTGTTGGATCATTGGGAAAATCCCGCTTTTCGCCGCTCTGAGAAACCCATACATGCTATCGATGCAGGTCACAGCAGTGTGACCGAAGCCGTGGAAACCAGAGTCCGCGATGTCTCAAGTGAGCTGTGTGGGTTCGAAGCCACTGGAATATCGAAGTTCCGAGGCAAACTGCTCAAGCAGGACCTTCAAAAGGCAGAGGTCATCGCTCAAGTGGATCAAAAGTTTGTCTTAGCAAGACTTAAGGTCGCCTCTGCTCACAAAACAGAGGACGGCTTCGTAACCACATTGGTACTTATCGACCAGCATGCCGCAGATGAGCGCTGCCGTGTCGAGGCTCTTTTTGAGGAATTATTTACCCCTTCACAGGGTGATTTCAGGCGAATTCAGACCGTCACCTTGGAATCATTGGTGTTTGAAATACCTTCTATAGAAAAACGTCTTTTTGGGCGGTACCGGGACTTTTTTGGATCATGGGGCATTGAATACACTGTTGAGCAGAAACCCGCGGAGAAATCTGCATTCATCTTCGTGCATAGGGTCCCTATGCTTATCGCCGAGCGATGCCGGGTGGAGCCAAATTTGGTTATTGAACTGATTCGGGGCGAGCTTTGGAACCGCGAGGAAACGAGGAGGCAGCCGGATCGCACAGACGAAGACCAGGGGTGGATAGGCCGACTCAAGGGATGCCCGCAGGGGCTGATTGACCTGCTGGATTCACGCGCCTGTCGAACGGCGATCATGTTCAACGACGAGCTCACGGCCGGGGAATGTCAGCATCTGGTAAACCGGCTGGCTCAATGCGTGCTTCCATTCCAGTGTGCGCACGGACGACCATCAATGATCCCCATTGTTGATATGGTCGATGGATTAGATGGCAATGAGGGACACGATGAAGACCCAAGTGAACTTGGACTCGTGGAGGCGTTTCAAAACTGGCAGTCTCGCTGAGGCGATGACTTTCTTCCGGACACAAACCATGCCAATCAGCTCTACGAATTTAGAATATCCAAGAACAGTAATGATAAGACACATCGATGATATTAGTCGACGAGCTCAAGCGACCATATAGGTATATATACAAGATACAGTACATGCAATCCTCCCAACGCTAACCTTTCATCCATCCAAGTCCAAAAACCTAATCCTGTTCAATCCGATCCAATTCCAATTCCAAAATCCATAGTAACAGTCCTCGCGACAGCCAAGACAAAAACGAATGTAATCAACGTATCCAAAAAGAAGATCCAGGGTGATAAATGAAAAGGTATAGTCCGATGCAGAAAACAAAAAGCAGAGGTATAAGAGAGAAGAAATAAGAAAACAGAAGGGAAAGAGAATAGACAAGGGAATAAAAAAAATGTATGACCCCGTCAACTGTGTGCAAGAAAAATGTCCCAGCCGCGAGGCTTTGAGTAGTAACCCTGTATATTATATCCCACTTTATGTGATTTTTCCTGTCATCGTTGTCGAATCACCCTTTTTATTTTGTAATCCGTTTTGACTCCCATCCAGCGTTATCCTGATCCCAATGTCGCTTTTTGTTCAGAACAAGAAAAGAATATTTCGAATAAAAAGATATCACAAGGGCCTCCCGGAAAAAAAAAGATATAGTAAAAACGTATGCACAGTAACAGAATGGTAAGGAGTATAGAGGTGACGCGTGATGATAGTAAGAACAATAACACCGTATGAGATGTGCAGGAGCATTATAGAAGAAATATGGCTGTCGTAAAGTCATAACACGGCCGTGAAGCGAAGAGTCATCGGATCTAACCATTTGTCGCTACCGACTTGGCTTTGGAGGGATGGGTCCAAGATAGGAAATCAAACTTGTCCTTGGCGTTTTCCAGGATCGATGACGAGCTGGCCTCAGTTTGCAAGTTGGGTCGCTGGGCTGCGTGAGATTCACGCGGCTCCAGTACCAACGATCGGCGGTAGAACGTCTGCAAGCTCTTCTCGCCGTTTGATCGCACTCGGATCAGCTCATTCTGCATCCATGCCTGCAGTTCGGGGACTTCCGTCAGGCGGTAGGGGATCTGGAACCGCTGTAGCTCGCTGATGATCTTGGCCGTCTTCATATGCTTATCGAAGTTGATAACGGCCATATCTCCGTCGTCCGTGGGGAGACTGCGTAGCGGCTGGTTGCCGTGGTCGACAAACGTGAGATCAGTCAGGTATGTGCCGACAAATGGTAGACACGGAGGGACATGGCCCTGGAGCCGTTGCCGCAGAACGGCGTAGTTGCGCGACACATCCACGATACCCCGGAGAAACTCAAGCGTCGTCTTCGTCTTCTGCGACACAACTTCCCATGTGCGCTTGAGTCGGGAGATCATGGATGAGTTGAGCGAGCAGATGATGGCCATCAAGGAGTCATAGTTGTTCAACTCCAAGCACCTGTTGGCAATTTTGACCCAGTGCTTGATAATGACCGCGCGTTTTTTGGGCTCTTCCAATTGGAGGATCGAGTCGGCCACCAGGTGCGCTAGGTCCGTTGACAGAGTGGACATCGCCCTAACATTAACGGCCAGGGAGGCCGACTTCTTCATCCATTCGGTCGCCAGCAATTCTTCCGGGAGAATGGCGCAGAAGATGCGCGACTCTTTGATGGTGAATTGACGGGCCAATTCCATCGGATCGAAGTCCAGAATGGTGATGTTGGCCTCGCCATTCTTCCACTGCCTGAGAAGGTTCGTCTCCTTCTTGTTCAGAATGGGGGCCGGCAAGGGAGTATCCGGGTGCACGTAATGTGCCGTCGCTGTATTTGTCTTGCCCATTGAAGACATCAGACGCGGCACCACGGGTCCGTGGACCTTTGAAACCTTATCCGTCAGCTCTACCAAGCGTTTTCCAGCAGAGGGCAGGTTGTGCATAAGCGTTGTGTTAGCAAAGTTGATAATGTAATCCAAGGCTGTGTCATCGCAATCATGGCGCCAATGGGCCTCCAACCAACCCTTGAACACGTTGTACACACGTAGACGGACGGGGCCTGCGGCGTGCGAGGTATCGCCGATATAATTGAACCGATCGACAAGAGTCTCTGCGAACTCAAGTGGGGTGGCGAAAAGACGGAATGTAAGGTAGAATGTCGATACAAACATGGCGTCCGGCGTCGACTGGTGCGCGGTAAGTTTCTCGACGAGCGCCCGGAGGCTACCGCCCATTATTTGACCCTCCTTGAAGATAAGCTCATGGGCGTAGGTCTTCTCAAGGAGATTGGCTTCCGTCTCTTCGCTCTCCTCAGCGAGGGTCGAGTGGCTGACGCTGCCCTTGAGAGACGGCACCTGGTAATGGTTTCCGATATCCGGAGACGTAGCGCGAGTGGATGTCTGAGATACTCCACTCATTTCTGAGTCTCGCAGGTGACTGTTGTACGTGAAACTGCTACCAGTGCTCGTAACTCCCCGACCGAAGGACTCGCCAACTTCCGATTTGGAGTGGCTATCACGATTCGGGGCATTTTCGGCAGCCTCTTGCATGGAGGACGCGAAGGAAATCTTATCTAGGCTGTTGGAGAGAACAGTGGTGGAGGGCATTGAGGAGAGGTCGTTAATCGCAGTAGCCGGGCTAGGGATTCCTGCACGGGAGTTGAAAGATGACGGGGTAGTATCATCGGTAAGACCAGGAGTGGACATGGAGGAGCGGTTACCGATGGGAATCTGCAAGGGAGGGGGAGGAAGTCGCAGGGACTGCTCCTGGGAGCAAGCCTCGTCCTCGACGATATTGCCAGTGCGCTGCGGTTGCGGGGTGGAGTTGGGGTCTGGGGTGGTTGCAGCGTTTGTGGGGATCGGCTCCAGTTCGAAATCACCGCACTGCTCAAGCACTCGGCGAGCTTTGGCCAAACAGTTACCGGCTCCTCTGACACAGTCAGTGGCAGCGTCGACCAGACGCTTGCCCTCATCGGGCAAAAACACTAGCTCATCCTCCGGGGAATGAGCGGGTCGGAAGGCATCCCGTGCCGCATAGACGAGCTCTGACAGTCTTTCGTACATGGTGTCCCGCGCTTGTTCCAGAAGTCCGCTGTCCTGGGGATTGTGTTCACACACGGCTTCCACGACCGTGAGAAGGCCGCGGCAAGACCGCACAGCCTGCTCCGTCGTCACAACCAGCTCCGCCGAGGGTCGAGACTGCAAGTGCAGCCCAATGAAAGAGCCGAGCACTCCAAGAAAAGCATCGTACGTGGCATTGAGTCGTTCGGACGCTAGATTCGGGTTTCGGGATGTGGCAGCGGGTCCGGAGTAAGACACTCGATGAGAGACGGAGATCCGCTTGGTCGTGACAGACACGGGGCGAGGCTGCTGTGAGTCTAGCGTATCCGTTCGGTTCGATGCACGGCTCATGTCCATTCGACTCCTGTTCAGGAGTCTAGACTCGTTTCGTTCGGTCTCAGCTTCCGAGGTAGCCGTCTCGAATATCTCGGATGCGGGTGTAGGCGGCAGGTCGAATTGAGTCGAATGCTGCTCCAATTCGGCGATCGTACGGCTCAAGCCCACTTCCTCGTTCCAGACATCAAGGAATCGAACTCCTCGAGTCACGATTCGGAATGCCCTGAGGAGCATTTCATCCATCATGTACACCTCGTCCTCGGAGGCATTCCCGTTGGACAATTCCTGACATTTCTTGGTGGTTCTCACTAGGGAAGATAGGTCGGCGAGCAACGCTTTACGGTTCCTGCGCAGCCCATCCTGGCCCTTGATTAGAATCGAGTCGCGGGTGAGACATTCGGATTTTTCCTGGCAATAATTTCTGTCAGAAGGCTAATTCATTGCCACCGGGGAACATTGAAAACTTACCAGCAGGAACCGCACACCCGCAATCAATCCCTTGACATTATCCTGATTGCAAAAGTCTCGCAGAGGAAAATCACATCCCCCTTGAATTATATCCCAGAGATCAGTCAATGCTTTCAAGAGCGGGCGCATCGGCAGTTGGTCGTAAGCTTCGCAGTAGTTCGTCGGTAGCCAGCCGCGAGCGCCAGTATCTAATAACGTGCCGTCTGCCCACCCGTTGGTGTGAACCGAATGTACCAAAATGATATCGCCTTGATCCAAAGGTAGCGTGACGGTGGAAGGGGACACGTCCCCAGTGGGATGAAAAGGATAGAAAGCGCGAAGATAGTTGTGGAAAACGGCTCTCGGAGTTTCCGTTCGATCCATCGTGTCGTCTTGAGATGCGGCAGCGGCCGTATAAGGAGTTAAAGGAGGAGTCATTTCAGATCGTTGTTGAGAGCAATAGTAGCGGTTTGTATGGAAATTGGAGTGTTCCTTTTCGATTTTCAACGGCGCAATGTGTGGCTTCATTGGTTCCATGTCTTCTGCAGTCCAATTGATAATTTGAATGTCCCCTTCGTTGGGTTGATCCAGCCGGACACAGTAGGTCACTGACCACAGAATTAAGTGAAAGTAAACGAAATTGACATCCTAAAATTACCAATGCACCGGGAAGACGAGAAGTTGTGTTTACTTGTCAGAAAGGAAAAGAAGATTGACGGCGCTAAACACTCGGGCAGATCGAGGCTGGTGGTGAGTGATGTATTCGGGCAGCCAGGAAAAGGTGTAGTTATTTCGGAACCGAAATAGTGACAAGCACTATAATGTACAAATGTCAACTGAAAGGTCCCTCGTTTGCACGAGAGGGCTGGGAGACGAGTGTTAGGAAGACGAGGGGGAGTGTTTGGGAAGGGAGTTGCGCATCATCTAGGGAATGCCAAATTCTAGGGAGGGGAAAGAATGGAAGGAATGCTGGGGAAGGGCAACCGGGTAACCAGACGTACCTTCCTAGACACGCATAAAGCGAGAGAGGGAAAAAAAAAAAGAACGGGGGATTTTATTTAATTGACCAGGTGCCTTGTCTTTCCAGCTACAGGCACGTTCTCCCAATCAGAATTCGAAACGAGGGATCCAAGGAAGGGAAGGGAGAGTCGACTCGCACGAGCACGGGAAATTCAAAGTGGTCAAGGAGAAAAGCAAGCAAATGCAATATGGCCAGGGCACGTCGACGAGCCGAGAACTAGGGTCCAGACGGGATGAGGAAAACCTGCCTCCTCGAGCGAGATGGGATGGCAGCAAGGACCACGATCCGGGGTCGGGTCCTGTAGAGAGAAAAACAAGAACAGAGAGCAGTATTCGGATGCGATCGACGAGAATGACGAAAGAAGGAGCACCGAGAATCTCCCAAAGCCCGAGGGAACGCGGGGAGTGCAAGGTTAATCTGGATCTTCGCGGTGAGAATACGCAAGGGCTATGAAGGACGTTCAAGACACGGGTCCAGCAATCGGCGAGGAATGAACGTTCTGCGGACGAAGATCGGGTTAGAGTCGTCGATTTGGGAGTTGCCACCAGCAGCAATTAATGACCGAAAGACCAGCAATGATCCACACAAGGAAATCGATGTAAATTAAAAGGAAGGAAGGATAAAAGACGGCGGAGGGAGAGACAATGGAGAGAGGAGGGAAAGAAGGACGGACGGTAGGGAGAGAAAGAGTGTGAGAGGAGAGAAGGTCCGGAGGGATATGGGGGAATAGTTCGGAAGGCGAGGACGAGCCAGAATAAAAATAGGCCTCGAACCACAAGCAGAATAATAATAGAGGGTAATAAAATCGAACGCTTAGTCGGATATTGTGAAGGCGAAATAAAGAACGGTGGAGGGAGGGGAGGGGGAACAACGGGACGAAAGGGACCCATTCGAGTCAAGAGTAAAGTAAACGCAAAGCCAAAGCCAGATTCTCCAGACTAGCGAGATGGAGGCAGTTGGAGCAACTGACCTGCGTCGTTAATGTTATCCACCGGTTCTCGGGTGGATCATGTCTAAATTAGATCAAGTCCGAAAGAGCTGCGCGACTATAAAATCGATCCCGTCAGGTCACCGTGGGAGACGCTCTACTAGCCAGTTTTTTAGCCTGGAGATCCGAGTAACTATGCGATTATCGCGGACCAGAGAATGAGAGAGGGAGAAGAAAGAAGAAGAAGAACCAGAAGGCGACAGAAGAGAAAGAGGGACCAGAAGTGATTGATCGGAGTGGAGCAGGTGATCCGTGGGTGGCCAAATGGGTGCCTGAAAAACCTGGACCAAAAAGGACCAGGCGAAAAACAAAAAAAGAGGGAATGAGAAAGCAATGCTCCGCTATCAAATATCTATTCTATCGCGGCTTCCTCGATCGACAGCCATGAAGTTGCAGAAAAGCAAAAAAAGAAAAGAAAAGAAAAGAAAAAAAAAAAAAAAAAGCAATGATGATTTCCTACCAGAATAAAGTGAGAATAAAATAAATCACAAATTTAATTCTTCCCGAAATAAATAATAAAAAAATAAAAAAAATAAAAAAATCGAATAAATCAAAAAAGAATAAAACAAAGAAAAAGAAAACCCAGAAAAGCCATCGCACAACCACGCTAATCCCCATTAGGCGTTAGTCCCCGCCCAAAGCAGGCGACGATCGGCCATCACATTTGAATGGAATATTGTCAATTAATCGCTTACAGGCCACTCGAGTCCATGTCGCCCGTTGCGACCGTCGTAGAATCGAGTCCGTCGATGCGGAGAACTGGAGTGACTTTCTTTCTGTCTTTCTTTCTGTCTTTCTATCTACAGTCTGTGTCTGTCCGTCTCTACCGGCGTGAATCCTGCCGCCTGACTTCCCTCCGTTCAAGGTGCCAGGCTAAGTTAGCAGGATTAATCTATTTCTTCCTCCCCCCTCTCTCCCATTAATTTATGTCATATTAAAAACGGCTCGAAAGGAACCAACCGGACCACGTCCAGCCCCTTAATTGCCGGTACTTTTGCAATCCTTATAATAACCCTAATAATGGTCCTGCTATCATCCCATATTAATTGTCTCCTTTTCTGGAAACCCTCGGTCAGACTATATCGTAGAGGGGGCTAATTTATTTTTTTTTCTTCCCATTTTTTTACACATTTGCCCCGGCTACGAAGAACTGGCAGTCTGGCAGTCTGGCACTGACACTGACACCCCAGAGAGTCCGTACTTTATTGACTATCGACTACTGAGATAAACCCGTTCCCCTGCACGGTTCCCCGTTCCACCGACTCAGAGGTGTGCAAAGACCTGCATGGACAAACAGGGGTTCAAGGTCTCCGGATTCGCATCTTTTCTTTCCTGTACGGTGAACGCACTGCTCCGAGTACTCCGTTGTCTGTCTGGCCAGCTCGTCGAAGGATTGCCCTTCTAATTATGATTGACCGTCCGACAGGCCAAGCCGCTAACTGGCACCGGTGGCAAAGAAATGCTGGCCTGGATTTATTTGCTCTTTTTTCATTTGCCCCCCCCACGCAATGCAGTCACTGCCCAGGACCTTAATAATAAGACATACTATAATTAAAAGACGGGAGCCACGATCATATGAAAATATTGGAGGATCTTCTACGGAGCTCGACGCCGAGAAACCGTCTTCAAGATCGAAATTTAAAAAATTCATAACGAATCAAAAGAAGAAGAATGAATGACTGGCATCGACAGCGTACAATAAATAGGCGAGGACGAATTTTTGGGGGATTCGGTGGGGATCGACATCGCAGCAAACCGTCCCACGGTTGACAGAACCTTCGTCCCAGACTATCAACTCCATCACGCCTTTCAAATGAATGCTCCAAATCCCATGCTTGGGGGTTCCTGATTCATGCGAGCGCCCCATGCGGTTCAACACGAGAACGTTGTCCCTTAGAAAGCATGCGGTCCTGCACGCGTTCGGTCCGTACTCAAAAATCAGAGCGAGGGGTGGATTTTTTGCCTGGACCTGGCGGCGTCCAGGGCTCAATGTAACCTGAGAAGAAGAAAAGAAGAAAGAAAGAAAAGAAAGGAAAAGGAAAAGGGACTTTTTTGAAAATAGTGCCACTGGATCAAGGATTTTTTGGCACTAAAATCAAGTTGACTAGACAATCAGACATGTCGACTGTCACGGGGAACAGGGGGAATGGGATGGAGTGATGCATCACGGCCCACCGGACGACGGTCTCCCCAAGCTTCAGAGGCTAAAACCGCTAGTACTTCTGGAGCAGGTGGTTCGTACGAAGGAACTAGCTTGCGGGCAACGGTCTCAATCTAACCAGATTCCAGACTCTTTCGAAGACCCCGGCTAAAACATCCCTTCAACCCTACCTTGGCTGTTGATATCAGGATCTCTCTAAATAATGGCCGATGGTCGTGGAGTCCTCGAACGCGAGCAACGCGTTGGACCAAGGGACGCAGGTCACCTAGCGATCGGCAGAGGCACGCCCTATCGGAGGTGACGGATGGGCTACACCATCCTTCAGGTTCAATCCTGGCGAATTAATATTTATGTAGTTCCTCCTGTATCAAATCCTCCGGGCGCGATAATCTTTGACTTATCCATGTCTTTCATAACTAAAGAGAACTAGCTAAGGATATACGAGTCAGGACTGGCAACCAGTTAATTAACTGGGAAAGAACGAGAATAGTGACGCAAGGGTAAAAAGCCCAAAAGGGCTTATGGCTTACGTACACCAGACTGACTCGACCGAATTTACACTTTATACCTTCCCCATCAATGCGGGCTTATGTATATAACCTCGCCCCAAAAATGGAGGGCGACTATATTCGGCGTAAACTCTACCTGGGCAGCTCTTGATCCGGGTCATTGGAATCGGAATCATATGCACTGTCTCTACCTAGATGGCAGATATACATGACAAATTTTGGGTCTTACTCTGTTAAAATTGTGTCTCGGAGTTGGTGCTGGGTGGCTTTTCCCGGGTGTGATCCTTCCCCGGGATAGAGAGGTCCTTAGCAGGCCAAACTATCTGAATATCTGTGCTCCATCGTGTGTTTCTGATCCACAATTGGGAGTCAATGATCGACGACCTATCCACCGCGTTGAGAAATCCGGTAAGGTCACACAATGCTGCGCATCTACAGACAATATGCGGTGCTGCCAAAGCACGTCCATTGCTCCCTCGATGACGATAGAATATATCCCCAGGGTGGGTATACGTAAACGCGTTGCAGATGCAAAGAATCCATCGGCCTGGTTGCCGGGTTTTGATCATCCCTACCACCGCAGCAAGTCCCAGACGGGGAATAGAAATATGAGATATGATGTAGCACATGCATCAGGCCATTTCGTGGCCTCGGGGCATCCGAATAATCTATAATCTATCGCCCATTCGCCATCCATGGCTCCTCCCCCTCCCCTCTCATCGAAAGCTAGTACTGTTGCCTTTTCCTAACCGATAAAGT